GGCCGCCGCCTGGCAGCAGGGTGCTACCCGCGGGCCTGGCCGCTGCCAGCAGCAGCGCCAGCAGCAGGTGGAGGGGCCGCCGCAGCAGCCTTTTGGTCGGCAGCGCGCTGTCGGGCCGCCTCGTCTGCCGCTCGGCTCTCCACGGCGGCCGCTGGGGGGGGCCCTGCACCAGGCGCAGCGCCTGCTGCTGGGGCGGCGGCAGCAGCAGGGGCGGCCGCCTGTCCTGCTGGCTGCGGCGGGGCGGCCGCGCCCCGCACGGGGGTGCCAGCGGCCACGGCTGCTGCAGGCCCCTCCTCGGTGCGCTTGCGCTTCTTGGCCACCTCCTCCTCGATCTGGCGCTTGATGCGCTGCTGGTGCTCCTGGCAGTTGCGCTCGAACGTAGCCTGCGCCCCCTGCATGATCTGGAGCCCCTCGTCACAGAGGCGCCTGAGGGTGGCCTGCGCCTCCTCCTCCAGCTCCGCGAAGTTCTCGAATGACTCCGCGTCGAAGTTGAAGGTGAGCTGCCTCGCTCCATCGGGCTGGGCGCCCACGACACCAGCCGCTTGGGCTCGCTGGCGGAGGAGGGCGTTCTCCTCCTCTTTGGCCTCTGCGAGGTTGACCGCCGCCTCGTCGCGCCAGCCTCGGCACAGAGCGAGGTGGTCCTCCGCCGCCACGAGCGCGTCCGCCGCCTCGTCGAGCTGGCGCTGGAGGTGGATCCGCTTCGCCGTGGCCGACTGCAGCCTCTGCTCGAGCGGCTTCGGAGCTGGGGCGACCGCGGGCGCGACGCAGCCCCGCGCGTCACGGACTGCCTCCTGCAGCCTGGCCGCGATGGCGGGGTCCCCGCAGGCGAGGAGCGCTTCGAGCTCGCTCTCGGGGGGGGCCGACCAGGGGGCCTTCGGGAAGGCGCCTCCGCCACGGCCACCCGCGCCCCCGCCGCCGCCACGGGAGGCTGCACCACCACCGCCGCCACGGGAGGCTCCTCCACGGCCCTTGCCGCCCTTGCCGCCCTTGGCGCCATTCTTCGGTGGGCCTCCGCTGCCGCCTCCTCGCAGTGCGGGTTGGGAGCCGCCGCCGCCGTCGTCCGCCCAGGCCCCGACGCGGGGCGAAGGCTTCGAGGGCGCCAGCTCCAGCCCGATCCCGCACAGCCAGCACTTCGCATTCCTGCGGAAGTTCCAGCGGAAACGGCAGCCCGTGCACACGACGAAGCCAGGCTCGGCCTTCGGCCCCATCGCCGGAACGGGCGGGCGCGCTGCTCAGCCGCGGGCGTGCAGCAGGCAGGTGCCGACGGGGGCGCACCCGCCGACACAGAAGAAGCCGTGACCCGCAGGTCCAGGGTGCTGCAGTGGCAGCTCACACTTGTTGGAAAGGAAGGTAGCCTCAAAGCAGAACCTCCCTCGCGCTTAGTCGCCCCGAAAGACTCGCGGTCGTCGGGACGGTTCATTGCCTTGAGCCAAAATGGCTTGAGCCAAGGTGGGGGCATTGGATAAGGAACCCTTAGATAAGGAACCCAGGGTCTGGAAGCCAGTGGAGCTCCAATCGTGGATCGGCCGTGGATATCGCCGCCGCCCTCATTGGATAAGGGATCCTGCAGGGTCCGGCGCCTCCTGGGGCTAGTCCTGAACAGGCGCCTCCACCGTATGCTTCGGCAGAGGATCGGCCGTGGATACCACCGCCGCCCGCACTGGATAAGGGATCCTCCAGGGTCCGGCGCCTCCTGGGGCTAGTCCTGAACAGGCGCCTCCACCGTATGCTCCGGCAGAGGATCGGCCGTGGATACCACCGCCGCCCGCACTGGCTAATGGATCCTCCAGGGTCCAGCGCCTCCTGGGGCTAGTCCTGAACAGGCGCCTCCACCGTATGCTCCGGCAGAGGATCGGCCGTGGATACCACCGCCGCCCGCACTGGCTAAGGGATCCTCCAGGGTCCGGCGCCTCCTGGGGCTAGTCCTGAACAGGCGCCTCCACCGTATGCTTCGGCAGAGCTGGCTGCGGGCAATATGTATATCCATATCCTGTGCGTCTTGGACTTTCTTGGAAGGGGCGCCGCAAGGCCGAGGCGCACTGGATATGGGTAAAAATCGAGCCTCTTGGAGGCAGATTATAACCCATATCCAGGGCGCCACATGCTTCTTGGGAAGAGAGCCCTAAACCGCAAGACGCACTGGATGTGGATATAGACATTGCCCGCACTGGGAGGTTGGGGAGATGGAGGTTGAGGAGGAGGAGGAGGAAGGAGGGCGACCAGGAGGATGAGGGCAAGGGCAGAGGAGGCGGAGGAGGAGGAGGAGGAGGAGGAGGAGGAGGAGGAGGGGGAGGAGGAGGAGGAGGGCAGAGCTGGCGGGTGTGCGAGGTGCCCGTTGGGTGCGCTCGCCAGGGCGCCCGCGTGCGGCCCGCAGGGCCTCTCTCTCTCCTTTGGCATCGGGCGCTGCAGCAGGCAGGCGGTGCTCCGACCATCCTGCAGGGCAGGAGGAGGAGGGCGAGGAGGAGGAGGAGGAGGATGAGGAGGAGGAGGAGGAGGAGGAGGAGGTGGAGGGAGGAGGAAGGAGGAGGAGGAGGAGGAGGAGGAGGAGGAGGGCGAGGAAGAGGAGGAGGAGGAAGAGGAGGAGGAGGGAGGAGGAGGAGGAGGAGGGCGAGGAGGAGGAGGAGGAGGAAGAGGAGGAGGAGGAGGAGGAAGAGGAGGAGGAGGAGGAGGGAGGAGGGAGGAGGAGGAGGAGGCCCAGGCCGGAGGCATGCCGTGGTCGTTTGCAACATGCTTGAGTCGCGCCCTCCTGGGACAGATGCCCATGCCTGCTGAGTGGTCTTGGCATGTGCACGCCGGGAGCGCGCGCGCGGCCCGCATGGAGCCATCTCAAACGGATGCACTGGCGAGGCACGTGGGATATCAGATGGATGGACAGTGCCCTCTCTAGCAAAACGTGGTTCAATGGAAACGGCCTCGGGCCCAAACCTGGCGGGCGCGGGCGTTGGAAATGACGGCCGCGGCGCCCTCTCGAGAGCCGAAAACGGACAGATCACGGATCGAAGCGACAAGGTGGGGGTTCTGTCCACCCCACTTGGGGTCGAAGCAGGGCCTGGTTGGGTGGCACGAGCCCGTGCAACATGACAAGAACATCCATACGCCGAGCCGGGTCGTCAAGTCCTGCCTCGGCATCGGGACAGAGCCTCAGGCAACTGAAGGTCTGGTCAAGAAAGCATGATCTAAGAAACCTGGGTCAACTTCCCGGAAGCCTCTTCGAACAATCCCTGGGCCAACTTTTTACTGCTCACGCAGGGGGGCCGAGCGTGCTGAAGGACGCGGGGCCAGCATTCCCGTCAGTGGGTTGAGAAACGCTGGCCCAGCTCTTCGGCTTGAGGCTTCTGAATCGTATGCTCGACCGTACCCTGTCATCTGGCCGCTGCAATTGTTTCGATGCGTGGGCCCCGGAGGTCCGGAACACTCTCCCAGCGCCGGGCTTCCGTCCTGCACCGATTCTTGACGCTGCCGAGGCCCGTCGCGGGCCCCCGGATGCCGAACATCTGGCCCCAAAGCCGCCGCTCCGGTTTTTGTTGGAGCGTCGGACCTCCGGGCATGCCGGCATGCCCCTTAAGACAGACCGTGCGGGGTGCCAGTCCGGCACCGCCCGCCTGGGCACGCTCCTCCTCCTCCTCCTCCTCCTCCTCCTCCTCCTCCTCCTCCTCCCTCCTCCCTCCTCCTCCTCCCACTCCTCCTCCCTCCCTCCTCCTCCTCCTCCTCCTCCTCCTCATCCTCCCCCTCCCCCTCCTCCTCCTCCTCCTCCTCCTCCTCCTCCTCCTCCTCCGGTTTTTTTGCAGCGTCGGACCTCCGGGTATGCCCCTTAAGACAGACCGTGCGGGGTGCCAGTCCGGCACCGCCCGCCATGGGCACGGGGCGGGCGGCGACGGCGAGGGCGGGCGCCCCCCCACGGGCCAGAAAAACCAATACAAACGCCACCCGGCGCACGAGGCGGGCACGGGCACGCACCGGCCACATGCCCAGAGCCGCCAGCCAAGCCAGTAGGAGGAGGCATATATAGAGGGGCACCGCCAGCCAAGCCAGTCATCGGAGGCATAGGAGGAGGAAGCGAGAACAGGAGGACAAAAGGGAGGCTCGTGGACGCGAGGCCGACCATGCGGAAGGCTCCTTGCTGGCCCTCGGAGGACGCATGTGCTCCAAGGTCGACCAAGACGGCGCCGACGAGCCCCTTCCCGGACGGAGGGGGTAGCAGGTGCTGGTAGAACTACCCCTTCCTTGACGGAGGGGGTAAATTGTTTGCTCTCTTTAGCTCCTGGACAAAACGGGGGGGGGCACGAGCAGGCGTTTCTGTCAGCGGCGACTTGGGCCCCAGACGCGGTGGGGGCAAGGAGGAGGCGGAGGCGGAAGAGGAGGAGGAGGAGGAGGAGGAGGAGGCGGAGGAGGAGCAGGAGGAGGAGGAGGTGGAGGAGGAGGAGGAGGAGGACGAGGAGGAGGAGGAGGACGAGGAGGAGGACGAGGAGGAGGAGGAGGAGGAGGAGGAGGAGGAGGAGGGACGCACCGGGGCTTCAGTATGGGGCACGGCAGGAGAGAATGACAGGCGAGGAGGAGGGGGGCAGGAAAACCGCGGTGGTGGAGCACGCTCAGGTCGCGAGGATCTTGTGCGTGTGGTCTGGCGCGGGGCCGGACCTGAACGTTGCTCTTCGCTATGCCTTTCGTTTTGCTCTGCCGGCTTTCCGGCACCCCCCTCCCAACACGCAGAACAAAACACGGCCGAGGAGCGAAGCAGCGCCTGGGTCCAGCCCTGCTCTGGAGAGCACGGTCCCAGGAAGCACGAGCAGGCACAAGTGTGAGGCTCGATCAGGGACCTGGCCATCGCTCGGACGTCCATTCCCTGTGTTTTTTTCGGTTTCGTGCGTGGTTGTTTCGCCAAGTGATCAAGGATGCTCCTCGATGGTCCTCGCCCAAGGAAAAATGCACACGTCCGAGCGATGCCAAGCTCCGGGCCCCAACGACGCCACGGGACTGAACGGGCCCCGAACGAGCCATCGCGATCACGCGCGCAGCCTGCCTGGCACGGGCCTCGACTCCTTCGGGGCCCCCACGACGCCACGGGACTGAACTGACCGCCTTGGCCCCAAGAAGAGACGCATAGTAAACATACGAACGCAACGATATCTGTCCGCCCCGAACGAGCCATCGCGATCACGCGCGCAGCTTGGCACGCACTCGAGCGAGCGCAAGCCCATCGGTCCGACGGTTCTCCCTATCCAACTTCGCCTCCGTGCCGCCCCCGTTTCCCCGCTCTGTTTGCCCCGATTCCCTACGAATCTTCTCGCCCGTCTCTCCCTCGTCTTCCTCCTGACCCTTCCCTCCTGCAGCTCTGGACTTCTTGCCCTGCCCCCGCCCCCCGTCTGGTGGGCGTGTCGCAGCATCGCTACAGTGGAGGCCAGTCCACAAGAAACCTTCCACAAGAAACCCAATCCTGAGACCCCAGGACGTCCATGGATTTTTGGTGTGGGAGCGTCATGCCTTCCGCAGCAGTACTATCGAAGCCCAAGAAACACAGGGCACCCTCGAGGTAAGCAGCGTGTTTCTTGGCATGGACCTCCGCTGTATGCATCTTGCCCCCCCCCCCCCCGGGGGAAGGACCATCTCGTCGCCGTAGGACGACAGCAGCGTCGGGTCCGAGCGGGAGGGCTTCAGGAAGGGCCGCATGTACGGGGGCCCGGTACCTGCTCGGAGCCCGGATGGACTCCGACAAGCGCCACGAAGCGAACAGGCAAGGAGCTGCAGCAAGCGACGACTGCGGAGGGCATGCGGTCGGACCAAGGCCACCTGAGCGACGACAATAACGGGTCTTACGCGAGATGGCATAAGCACCTTACGCGGCGACTTACGGGGGCCGCCACCGCGGCACGCTTTATTGGCAACGACGGTCGACTCCGTTGTTTGGCGTCGCTCACCTAACAGCGAGCCCGACCGCTGCAGCACGTCGCAGACACGAGCGCCCAAAAGGCTGTGGCGTAGTGGAGAGGTTGGCTGGGGCGGTCGAGCAGATGGTCCTAAGCGCCGCGAGTTCCTCACGAACCATCCGCTGTGACTCATCTGCGGCCACAGGCGAGCGGCGACGCACACCCTGCGGCACCACGCGGAAGGCATTCGTTGAACAGGGTGCCCCAGCATCTCTGCACGCCTGGGTCGCCTCCTGTCAACTTCCCGTTCGAGACGCTCTTTTCGTCTCTGTTCCGACTCGCCCGTCGTGGCAATCCTTGCTGGAAACTTCTAACACTTTCCGGAGGGAGGTGGGTTCGGAAGAGTCTTGTGATAGGGGGGGAAGCTTCCCAAAAGACCTCATTGGGGCAATCTTTGAACGAACTGTCCTGGATATGCCCCGCCGCGACCCTCTGACCTGTTCAATTGACCATGGGCACCACAAAACAATACATAACTCTCGACCCCTTCCCTGTGGCTTGTTCTTTCATCCCAGATCCTTGCATGTGTGTCCAGGGACACATGAAAGGAAGCACTCCGAGATCGAACAAAACAATTTTCCAAAGGTCTGTACCCACAGACCCCCGACGTCGCGATCTTTTCACAGCGTGTACCCGAAAGCCTCGGATCCCTCTTCCATACGACCGATGTGTTCATTCTCACATTCTTTTTTCAACGGCCTGTGCTGCAAGACGAGGTCAAAACGAACACGGTTCACGAGATAGCCAGAGCACCGTGTAGCTCGCGCCTTGGTTTTTGCTTGGGGCGAATTCAACCTCTGGGCCAGAGCCTTCGTCGGGCCCGAAACCGTCAAGAGAAGCTGTATATGTTTGTATGATGGTCCAACTGAAACCAGAGATGACTCAGGATGAAAAGCCTGTAACCGGGGAATTGTCGAGAGGTGCAGGGACCCCGTCTTGAAACAATCATCTCACCAAAGGTCAGAGTTTCACACCAGGCGCTATTTCCCTCCCGACCGCCATGATGCAACCATGCTCATCTGCCCAGGGTCGCCTGACTGCGAAAGGAGCGCTGTCCTGGAAGCAGAAAGTATGGGGGGAGGATAACCATTCGAATGTTTGAGACCACAAATGTTTGATACCTCCCCAGACATCCGCCGATAACTACATGTTTTTCAGCCCGCGGCCCCTAGCCCGGAGCTCCCGACCCCTTCCAAGGGAGAACCGATGCGCCCCCGAACAACTTGTGCTGGCCCCAGGGCCCGAAAGCGGCCACAAGGAGCCGAAATGGAGGAATAATCGGCGGCGAGCCCAAGAGGGCAGTGAGAAGGGGCGGCCTTCTCAGAAGGCCAGGAAGGCCTCGGGCCTTCTGAGAAGTTCCCCGAGCCTTCCCCGGAGACGCCGGAAGCTCAGCAGAAGGCCGGAGGGCTTCTGCGAAGTCTCGCCGCCTTCTGGGAAGGCCTGCCCCTGCTCGCTTACCCCCCGTGTCCGCCGCCGAAAGAAGCGCGCGATGGGAACAAAAACACATCGCCGGAAGCCCGCGCACACCTGGCCCGCTCCAGAACCCCTAAACCCAAGAAGGCGTGCCTCTCGCCGCGGGCCTGCCGCCGGGGAGGGCCTCCGCCGGCCCTCCGCCGAAGAGGACACGCCGAGCCTCTGAGCATCGTTGCTCCGACCCCTGTCCCCAACGGCGTGGCCTGGGCCCCACTGGCCGATCGACGCCCCTATAGATGGGGGCAGAGGCCGTTCCCCTTGGGGGTGCGAGGGGCATATCCCCAACGGTGGTGCTGAGATGGAGGGGGTCTGGATGGGGATGGGGATGGAGATGAGGATGGGGGTCGGTGAGCCGATGCTGAGCCTCCCCTGCGGCCCAGGCCTCCGACGGCTTGCTCTTCTCGCAGCGTGGGACCCAAGACTCTCGACCACTCTGGCTGCGACCGGCTCCTCATCCCGACTCGCTTCGTTCTCCGCCTCCTCCTCCTCCTGATCCTCCTGATCCTCCTGATCCTCCTGATCCTCCTGATCCTCCGCCTCCTCCCCCTCCTTCCCCTCCTCCGCCTCCTCCTCCGCCTCCTCCTCCCCTCCTCCTCCGCCTCCTCCGCCTCCTCCTCCGCCTCCTCCTCCCCTCCTCCTCTTCCGCCTCCTCCTCCGCCTCCTCCTCCTCCTCCTCCTACTCCTCCTCC